AACAGCAAAACAAATCAATCAATCCAGTTGAACAAAATAGCAATCCTGAAGAGCATGGCAGCAAGTTTCATCCCACGTAACAAGAATTACGACTTACTTCTTGAGTGATTGCTGGTCGAAACTGTTTGTGCAATTCAATAATTATTCTTAGACAAATCAGTACATTTTCTTCATTCTCTGTCTGGAAAATAGAAGAAAAACTTTTTAGTGAGCCCACTGCTGAATTCCTCAACTACTCAGTGGGTACTTCAAAACCCTGTAAAATTATACTCTTCTCAACAATCTGAAGTGCTCCATTAATATGGATTTGTGTGAGCAAGACACCTTTCCTTGGATACCGTGAAGTCCTAGAGTATGGCTGAAATCAAATCCACCCTGGAGGAATAAAACCCAGACATCTCAACCACTCTGTATCATCAGACCTGTTCCCATTGCCCCTCAGAGACCCCCATGTGAGACCCCTTCAAATGATGGTGTTGTGAATTCCAAGACAGAAAACAAGCTCCCAAGAATAAGCTATCTGTGAGAAAATCCTGCCCAGCGTGAGAACAGTTCCCCACATTTGTACAATCCAAGTTTCTAAAGGGCAGGAGAGAACATGCAGAAAACCTGCAGGTGCTAAGAGAGGGCATGGGTGAAGCTTAAATACAATGTCCTTCCGTTCCTGCTCCAGCAGCACAGCTACTGAAAATCCAACCCCCAGCAAATTTTGGAGATGAAGAAAGTAGATGAAAACATTTCTGAAAATTTCAAACGGTTTTAAGAGGAATTAAAAGATACCTCTAGAAATCTGAACATCACAGACAGGATATTTTTGGTATGAAGACGAAGATGTTCATTTGTTGGTATTCTGTGAATTATTTCAAGCACAAGCTTCCGGAGTTGCTATTAAAAAAAAAGGAAAAAATAATGATACAACAGAACTTTTTGAAAGGCCTACAAAACCCAATAATTGGCTGCAGCATCTCTTTCAGCTTAATAATTCTGCGTGTTGAAACAGAAAAAAGCCATTTTATTTTATGTAGACATAGGCTCACACACAAAGACATAGCCCTTCCTACTACCCACCTATGTGAATGAGGCAAATTTAACAAATTTGTCTGAAAAATCAGACTTATTTTAAGGAATGCAATTTTAAGTATTTAATGACAAAGACTGAACTTTTGCCTTTCATTCCTAACCTTCAGTAAAGTCAGTAATTTGTAACAATGTGTAGTATTTCAGTAAGAAAGCAAATTCTGTTACACCTACTTTTACTCCTTTTTCACAGAAGCCCAGACTACCATAGTTTATAAGTAACTTATTTAGAAACAGGACCATTTCAGTTCCACTCCAAATGACAGATCTATTTTTAACAAGTCTTAAATCAGTTCATTAGGTTAATCAAGGACTTCACAGCAAAAAGACAGGAGATGCTCCACACAGTTTACCTGTGCTGGCTTCTCCTGCAGAAACTGAACTTCCCCATCCTGTAGAAAGGTGAGAAACCGAGGGATGATGTGTTCCAGGAATGTAGAATATTGAGGGGATGATGTCACATTCTAATTAAGAACAAAAAATGGGGAGTTATAAAATTAACATCACACAGATTATACTCAGTTACATTCAAAGCCACTATTAAACATTTTCAATGAATTTTGAATAGATTCAGTGACTAAGTATCTGCTGACACACTACAGAACTGAGTTCCAAGAGAACATTAGCAAAACAAATACTGAACAAGTTCTTCCTTACTGAAGAGAAGAGCAAAGAGAATCAACTAAGTCTTCCAATTGTAAATAGATCACCAGACTAAGCAGTTAAAACTATTCTTTTAGTCAGATAAATTGTTTCAGAAATAGATTAAGCAGATAAAAAAATCCACAATAATGATTTTTAGGTTTCTATAGCTTCAGAACAGGCACATAAAAACTAAGTATTCAACTAAAGTATAATTTCTGCTAACACAAGGCTGGGTTAACTTGTGTTTCTCTGCTGTGAACTGTGAAACTGTGTTTTCTCTGCTGCTCATCTAAAATGATGGTCCACCACCACGCAAAAGATGTCACTGGAGACATCTCCACTCCTGATGTCAGATTCTGCATCTGACAACTCTCTCACTTCCACACCACGGGATACTCAGAGGAATCAGAAGGGCCTCTGTTTCACAATGGCACAATACACATTTGAACTAAATAAAAGAAAGCTTTAAATGCAGACATTTCATAGCATTCAAAAAATAGAAGAAAAATATCTTACTTCACTTTTATTTAAATGCTTGATGAATAAAGATTTGTCAATGAAAGCTAAGTCCAAATGTAATTCTTCAACAACCTGGCTAATTCCTAAATACCAACCTAAAATCAATGACTTGTAACCATATAAATCTTATGTCATAGGATACTACTATTAATATTTTAACTGCATAACATCAGAAATTCAATTAATACACTGCAGAACATTAGTGGGTTTTTGCTGGGGTTTTGTTGCTCGGGGTTGTTATCTTTTTATTTACCTCAAAATTCTCACTGACTTCTTGCATCATTTTCAATTTGGTTTCATCAGCTGAAAATGGAAATTCAAGAAAAGAAATGTGAGTATAAAACTAGATCATGAAGGAAAACACCAGGCTCATTGATCAAAGAAGCAATCAGATCTTATCAGTTTAGCTATCACTGCCCAATTATATGACACACAGGTCTCTCAAACAACCACCACATAACTACACACACACACACACACAGCTCACTCACTTAGGCTCATGGAAGTATTTCTCATCATCTTGCTTCTTCAAAAATCAAAACTCAAACAAATTTCAAAGTGAATTTGACAGATTTCACTGTCTCATTTATCAACTGCCTGAACAAGTCTGCAACACTTGTGAAACAAATTACTGAAGAGCTGCAATTTTCAATAAGAAGAAAGTTTCTTACGTGTATTGACATCTGTCAGAGCAGCCACAAACTGAAGGTATTTTTTCATCAAAGTGGTTTGGTCCACCACCGTAGGCCCTTGTGCTGAAACAAATGCCATCTTGGAGAAGGAAGGATCGGTTTTCAGTACATAAAATCAAGACCAACACACCTACAAAGGAATACAGAAGTATTTGTTAGTTTGCATGGCTTGTTAACAGCAGCTATCCACATCGCCTACATCCATTCTTCTGACATATTGAAGAGGACCACCTTTCCCAAAAAGAACAACTGTAACACTGAATTAGGCTTACAAATACATGTACAGCATGTACAGCACTCACTGTGACAGGACTGCACTAATAGATAAAAGGAGTTATTGGGCTCTTCACAGCACAAGCATTCACGTGTTTTTCCCGATTTCCTGTCTCCCAGCAAGCAGCAGGCTCCAGGCTCAGGGATGCTCCCGACACCGCACACCTGTCATTCTGCCTTCCGCCCCAGCCAGATCCCAAACTTGCAGCTACCCTGGGGCACATCCCTGCGGGACTCGCTCCCAGGGGCGCCCGCAGTTGTCCTGCCGCCACAAGCTGCCCGTCTCGCTCGTAAAGAAGCCTAAAGTCACATCTGGCTTGAGAGACCGGCGACCTCCCTCCTCCCCTGGGGTTTTCTCGTTAGTTTTGCTCCTGGCCAGGTCCGGCCGAGCCAGCCCGGGACCCCGCGCCCCTCACCTTCCCCGCCGCAGCGCTGCTCGCTCGGGTCGCTCCCCGCTGCCAGGGCGCCATCACGCCGAGCCCATCTCCGCCCTGCGAACACGGGCACCGTGAGCGGCCGCAGCGCTGCTTCCCCCGCGTCCCTCAGCCCTCCCGGTGTCGTGCTCGGCCCCAGGCCTCCGGCGGGGCTCCGGCCGCTCCCTCCTGCCGGCGGCGCGCCGGTCCCGCCTCCCCCCGCCCCGCTTCGCCGCGCCCAGGCCCGGGCCCCACCGGGGCGCCGCCGCCGCGCTCCTCACCCCACGGCTCCCCGGGACCGCCCGGCCGCGGCCCCCCGGCTCCCTCCTTTGTTGCTCCCGGAGGCCGCCGGCAGCGCATGGGCGCGACGGAAGCGCCCGAGCTCAGTTCCGGCCGCCTCCTCCCGGTGCCGCCTCCCGCGCCTCTCCCCGGGCGGAGGCGGGCGCGCAGCCCCGCGGCACCGCCCGCTCCCTTCGCCGGCCCCGCGACCCCCGCACGGCCCCGCCCGGGCCCGCCCCACCAGAGCCGCCTGTCCCCAGCGCTGCCAGCGGCCGCTGCCTGAGGCGAGCCCCGCCCGTCCCAGCGTCCCCGGAGGCTCCGCTGACGCCGCGGCCGCCGGTAACAGCGAGCGAGGAGTTACCGGGGCAGAGGCGGCCGCAGCCGGTGCCTTCGGCCAGCGCAGGGCCCACCCCGCCCCGCCGGTGCCCCGGGCGAGCGGCGGCAGCACCGGAAGCGAAGCGCGCAGCGACACTGCTCCGCCACAAGAAA